TCCCTAGGCTTTTTTTTTTTTTTTTTTTTTTTTTCCCCCTGGTAATGGGCATTTAACACTGAATCCGGCTCGTTTTATTAAGGGAAAAATATCTTTAAGGCGATTTTAAGTCGCTTCCAGGGCAGCTTTAGACGTGCGCACGCGCTGCCAGCCCCAACAGACGAGCAAATAGCAAATATTAGAATGCTGACAAAGAGGCGAGAGAAAGGAAGGAAAAAAAAAAAAAAACTTTATCGGACAGTCTGGGTGAGAGATCATATAAGCCCCGATCCCGCACTTTTCACATGAGCTCGGCTTATCTCGTGGCGTTATATCAGCAATTTCCGCTCTCCCGAGAAGCAGTTTGTGCAGAGAAGAGACTCCCCCCGCCCTCTCCTTGGCAAACGAGGTTGAAAGAGTCTGGGGCGAAGTGTGTCCTTCCATAGAGCTGCTGCTGCGCGGCTTAAATCAGACTTAAATCACAATCAGAATGTGAAAACAAAATCTGAGATGCAACCTCTTTGACCTGGGATTGGACTGGGGAGGACTGCAATAAGAAGTATATACTATTTTGAACTTTGGAAATCCATTTTAATCATGAAGCGAGAGGTATGGCATAGATTCCTGATGCCAGTGAACAATACAGTAACAAGACTCATTCAAGGAGACAAAGCAAAATGTATTTCTCCCTCTCTCTTTTTTTTTTTTTCCCTTGCGGGGGAAATAGTCTTGAATGACAGATATGAAGGAAGGAGAAGAAAAAATAAGGCGAGAGGGAACTGTTTCTTTTTTTCTTTTTTAAAGAACAACACACAGAAGCCAAGTGAACTTTCTAACAGGCTGTTACCATCACGGAAAAAGAAAGAAAGAAAAAAAAAAAGGTTTCGACTGAAGCTCAGAGGCCATTCTATAAACTTTAAAAATAATATTCAGTTTTTATTAAATACTCAACATAGTCCTCTGGACATGACCTTTATACATGAGAGGGTGTAACACTTTTTTTTTGCTTTTTTTTTTTTTTTTTTTTTGCATTTTTTCCTACTGCTATAGAACTCCATTCACTTTATACCGTGGAACATTACAGTGCTAAACATAAATATAAATACAGGTACCACGAACACAGTTAAAAATATCCACACAGAAACTGTCACAGTTTGTTGTATGCAGCGATGAGCCCAGGTTTAAATACGAGGAGGATGCTCTCGAGAAAAAAAATAATAAAAATAAAATAAAAAAATAAAAATAAAATTATACCCCAAAAAAATAAAAATAAAAACAAGCCCCAAATGCTAGGTTTGGGTTGAAGGAGCTTTTTCGGGGAAAGAGATTTGCACCACGGGAAGGAAAAGTCGCTCGTCTTGGAGGAAGAGGAAGAAAACCCCGGGGTAGAGTCCATGTTAAGGGGGGGGGACCCAACACGGGGAGGCAGCACTGTCGGGTGGCTGCGGCCCCCTCCCCTTTATTTTTTTTTTTTTTTATATATAATCGCAGGAGGAGAAGCGTGCGGCTTTAAACAGTCTTATTCCGAGTTAGATAAATAGGCAGGGGGGAGGGAGAGCGGAAGGAGAGGGGGGTGCAGAGCCCGCACGGGGCGAGTCCGTGGAGTTATGATGTGTGATAGCAGGGAGGGCCCACATTCTTATTATTTATTATTCTTATTTTTTAAAATGTAGCCAAACATCTCAATTGTGCCAGTGATAAATACATGATGGGGAGGGGTGCTGAGCTGTCATTCTTTTTATTTTTTATTTTTTATCGATTTCCCTTAACTTATTTCCTTTAATTATTATGTTTTCTCTCGCTCCCCTTCACTCCTTCTGCTTCTCCTCTTCTGTCTCGTCCCGTTTCTCCTCCTTGGCGGCCAAGCTGTCGGCGGCGGAGGCGGCGGCTGCAGCGGCGGGGCCGCTGCCGGCTCCGGACAGGGTGGAGCTCAAGTTACTCTCTTTTTTCCACTTCATGCGCCGGTTCTGGAACCAGATCTTGATCTGGCGCTCGGTGAGGCAGAGCGCGTTGGCGATCTCGATGCGGCGCCGGCGGGTCAGGTAGCGGTTGAAGTGAAATTCCTTCTCCAGCTCCAGCGTCTGGTAGCGGGAATAGATCTGGCGGCCCCGCCGGCGATCGGCCCCATAACCCACTCCTAGGGAAGCCGAGACAAAACAGACTAAAAATCGTGAGCGCTGGAGCGGCGAGGAAGAGGAGGGTGAAGGGGAGGGGGGGGATTGCTCGGAGGGGTTGAGGGGGGAAGGGTTGGGGATGGAGACGCGGCGAGCGCCCGCGCCCCCTCCGCCCCCGCGCAGCCCCGCGCCCGCCCCACTCCTCCCCCCCCATTAACAAAAAATAAGGAGAGGGGACCCCCCTGTCTAGATCCTCTAGTCACATTTTTTTCCCCCCTAAAAATCCCCATTTTGGCTTCAATATTATTTTCCTAGAGCGAGCCAATCTCTCAATTAAAGCTCTTACAGGAGAGAAGTGGGGACCCCCTTCCCGTTTATATCTATCTATCTATATATATATATGTATTTACACAAACACACACACACATATATATATACACATATATTCCCTTCCCTCCCCCCCCTTTTTTTTTTTTTGCAAGGAAGCCAACCCCAAGCAATCTTAGTTTCCCCCCCTCTCCTCCTCGCCTTCAAACTTATCCCCCTCTCCATAATATTTGGGTGCTTAACTCCCAAGTAGAGCTCGCTGCACTTTATTATCGATATTTTACACTCTCGAAGTCTTTTAATTAGAAAGAGCATAACAAGCCATATTTGCTTGCAACAACTTAACAAATAAAAGGCCTGTAGCTGCAACTGTGAAGGAGCTATATTATTGTTTTTATGGGGCCATAAAAAGTCGCTCAGCCTGTTCTGCTAGGGAGAAGGTCGTAAAGATGGTTCAGTTTATTTAATTTATATCTCCAAGCTGTAAAACTTACCACTGTGGGAGTTCATACGCTGCATCCATGGGTATATTTGAATGCTAGTTTTTTGTTCTTGCGAAGTGTTCCTGTTTTGGTCACTGGTAAAATCCTGTGCGATTGATGTCTGTGTATTATGTCCCATAGAATTTTGCCTGCAGCTAGAAAGCATGTCTTTTTCTTGGTAAAAAGCATTAGATCCATAGTCATAAGGTCCTCGGCTGGAGCTAAACACAACATTATCTTGCGGTGAATAAAAAGGAGACGAATAAATCCGGTTTTGAGCAACGGCTGCTCCATAAGTAGAAAAATGCCTGACAGGGTCATAGGCAGTTGAATTGAGGGCTACGTTGGGAAGCACCTCTTGGCCACTGGTTAGATGGCAGGATAAAGATGGGTTTGTGAAATAGGAATTCATATCGTCCTCTATACCTGGCTGTGTGATTTCTTTAATATTTATTTCTGTCTCCAGTTTGTAGTCTGAACTAGATTGTTATAGGGAAGGCTCTGCTCCAGGACAGACAAAATGACAAAGTCAGCTGACCCGGGGGGAGCCAATGGGGAGGCGGGTGTCAAAAAGGGGAAAAATTGCTTTTTGCTTCTGTTGATTCCCCAGTTGCAACTAAGTGGGCATGCAAAGTCAGGGCTGCACCCCCAGCACCCCTCCGGGCAGCCCCGAAGCTGCAGGGAGGGAAAAAGGGGCGCTGGAGGGGTGCAACAGGCCACGAGGAGGCAGAAAGTCCCGGAGCCATCGCTCGCTTTTTTTTTTTTTTTTTTAATTTTTTTTTTCAAAAGCAGCTGGAAGGGGAGCTTGGAAATTTTCACAAATTTCACAACCCAACCTTAACTTTTTTTGTATGTATTTTATTTTATTTTATTTTTATTTTTCCCTTCCCTCTTCTTCCCCTCCCCGCCCCCGCTCCCCACCTCTTCCACTTCGTTGACGGACACGGAGGTTGGAAATCGCAGTGATTTTCTGTTATTATTATTGTTATTATTTTGTAAGAAGTGTTTGCTTAATATCTTGTAATAAAATAGCTCAGAATTCATAGTCATAAATCTCAGATGTCCACAGAATATTAAGCCATAAATTACCCGGATTCTCCCCCACTCTTCGACCCCCTCCTTTTTTTTTTTTCTTGTTCTCCTGTAGCATTGGTCAATATTATGGAATCAAATGGTAGAGCTCCTGATGAGAAAATATGACATAAAGAGAAAGGGGGGGGGAAACATGGCGACTTCGGGATTGATAACGTGTTTGAGAGCATTCCTAAAGTAGGTCTTGGAGAGAGAGGAAAAAGAAATATGTAAAAATAATAAAAGGGGGAAAGCAATAAAAGAAGCACAACATTGAGAACTCGCATTAGCTTGGAAGTTAGATCCCTCCTTTAGTGCAGTTTGACATTTCTCCCCTGAAGGCTCCCTCCTCGTTTCTTTGCCATATGTGACGATGCTGGGGGTTATTTTACATTTTCAAGAGCAGTTAAACAACCCCCCCCCCGGGAAAAAAAAAAAAAAAAAAAAAAAAAAGCTTTTTTTTTTTTTTTTTTTTTTTTTAAATCTGGAACTGGGAGCCTGGACTGGGGACCCGTCCTCGTGTTTGGATTTACAGCGATTCTTCGTTTCAGATATTCGCAAGTGATGGGGAAACTTCCGTGGCAAATATTGAGGGAGATGAAAGAGGGGTTTATCTGAGAGCTTCTCCGGGTAGATTCCAACTGGCTCTAATTGAAAGGAAGGCAGCTAATCTCATTTTAATTTCAATCTGCAGCCATAAATTGCCCCCTTAAATGCAAAACATACCTGCTGATCTGTAAATATTGCGAGGTATCTTTTGCATGTTGGTGGCTTGCTATTTAAAAATTCATTTATAGAAGGGAAACCCTGGCCTCCTTCTTTCCTTCTCCTCCTTCTCCTTCCTCTTCGTGTCCACGTTTTTATTTTAAAATCAGGGGTATGCAAGGACTTGGGAAAGGAAGCTTTAGAGGTGCACACTCACATTCAAAAATCTGGGAGTATTTGCTTCTCTTGCTGTTAATCAATACTTATTTCCTTTTTTTTCTTTTCTTTTTTTTTCTGTTTTTTTTTTCTTTTT